GTGGGTGGGAGTCACCTAATCTGCCATCCAAGTGCGTATCCCTGCTCCTAGCCAAGCAGGACTTGCCAGCTTAGGCGGTGTCCAAGTAGGGAGGGGCCCTCACTCTTGGATCACCATAAGAGGTGAGACAGTAGGGTCTGCAGGACGTTGGAAAAGTCCGGCGTGCCTTACTCTCTAGGGCCACCTGGCAAGGCTACAGCTGTCTACAAACAGTGATCTCTGCCTGAGGGGGCCCCTTGAGCAGAGGATGCCCAAGGTCTTGGGAACCCACCGCTTGCGCTAGATTTAATGACTACCCTGCTGGGTTTTGAACTTGTATGGAGCCTGTAGTCCCTTTCTTGAGGCTTTCTCCCTTTTGGAAGGGGAATGTTTACCCAATGTCTGTACCCCCATTGTATCTTGGAAGCAAATAACTTTTGATTTTACAGGCTCATAGGTAGAAGAGATATGCCTTGTCTCAGATAAGATTTTGGACTTTTGAGTTAATGCTGGAATGAGTTAAGACTTTGAGGGACTCTTAGGAAGGCATGATGGTATTTTGCAATGTGAGGACATGAGATTTGTGGGGGAGGGGGACCAGAGGCTGAATGATATAGTTTGGATATTTGTTCCTGCCCAAATCTCACATTGAAATGTAATCCCCAATGTCAGCTGGGCGTGGTGGCTCACGCCTGTAATCCCAGCACTTTGGGAGGCCAAGGTGGGCAGATCACAAGGCCAAGAGATCAAGACCATTCTGGCTAACATGGTGAAACCCCGTCTCTACTAAAAATACAAAAAAAAAAAAATTAGCTGGATGTGGTGGCACACGCCTGTAGTCCCAGCTACTTGGGAGGCTGAGGCAGAATGGCATGAACCTGGGAGGTGGAGCTTCCAGTGAGCCAAGATCATGCCACTGCACTCCAGCCTGGGCGACAGAGGGAGACTGTCTCAAAAAAAAAAAAAAAAAAAAGAAAGAAATGTAATCCCCAATGTTCAAGGTGGGGCCTGGTGGGAGGTGTTTCAGTCATGGGGGCAGATCCCTCATGGCTTGATGCTGCCCTTGCAATAGTGAGTGAGTACTAGCAAAACCTAGCTATTTGAGTGTGCAGCACCTACGCCCTCCACTCTTACTCCTGCTCCCTCTTCACCTTCCACCATGATTGTAAGCTTCCTGAGGCCTCCGCAGGGCAAGATGCCAGTGCTATACTTCCTGTACAGCCTAGAATCATGAGCCAATTAAACCTCTTTTCTTATAAATTATCCAGCCTCAAGTATTTATTTATAGCAATGCAAGAATGGCCTAAAACATGCTGTCTCTACAAAAAAAAAAAAAAGCCAGGCATGATGGTGCACACACGTAGTCCCACCTACTTGGGAGACTGAGGCAGGAGGAACACTTGAACCCAGGAGTTTGAGGCTGCAGTGAGCTATAATTTGCACCACTGCACTCCAGCCTAGGCAACAGACACTCTTTTTTTTGGTTTTTGTTTTGTTTTGTTTTGAGACAGAGCCTTACTCCGTCACCTAGGCCTGGCGTGCAGTGGCAGGATCTCAGCTCACTGCAACCTCTGCCTCCCAGGTTCAAGTGATTCCTGCCTCAGCCTCCCAAGTAGTTGGGATTACAGGCGCCAACTGTAGAGCATCTGATCCTGTCGCTGTTCGGGGCGCCACTATGTAACCCACACAGACCTAGGGGGACTGAAAAAAGTGGGGGAAATGGGAATAAGAGACAAAAGAGTATATTTGGAAGAAGGGATCGGGGGCACCTTGCCTCTAGTGGACAAGGGCCCTGAGCTTTACACAGCCCTCTGTATTTATTAGGCAAAAGAGAGATAGTGAAAAGGGGGGTGGAAGAAGAGGTCAGCTGCTCGGTCCAGAGTAGGGTTTGCAAGATGGCATTCTCTAGATGGCCCAGTAGATAACCTCAAGGAGCTTGGCACTAGGAAGCAATTGCCCTCAGCAAACCTTCTGGCAGCGGAAACAGTCGAGAGTTTGCCCACATCCTGAATTCATGATAAACAGTTTGCTGTTCGATCACATAGCCTCCAGTGGAATGTTGAGTTGGTCACATCCCACGGGCCTTCAGCTCCCAACAGCCCACCACCAGGCCCAGCTAATTTTTTGTGTGTGTTTTTAGTAGAGATAGGGTTTCACCATGTTGGCCAGGCTGGTCTTGAACTTCTGACCTCAAGTGATCCGCCTGCCTTGGCCTCTCAAGAGACCCTATCTCTTAAAAAAGAAAAAAAAAGAGGTTAAGATTGTAAATCCTAAAAAAAAAAAAATCAAAAGCAAAATCCTATATGTAGATTTCACAGCATCTTTATTTATAACACTTAAAACCAGGAAAACAGTCCAAATATCTCTCATAGGTGAATGGATAAACAAACTAGTACATCAAATATGTATACTACTCTCTAATATAAACAACTTTCATCTGGTTAGATATATGGTGGTAAAAAAAAATAATAAAACAATTATTCATCAACTCATATAAACCTTAGGAGTAATTTGCTGAGTGACAAAAATGCCAAAAGCTTACATACTCTCTATCAATAAAAATTTATATAACTTATTTATATAAAATTTACAAAAACCATTTACAAAAACAACTTTATTTTTATCACATTCATGAAATGATGAAAATTATACTGACAGGAGAAAAGTGGTTGGCAGAGTTAGGTTTGGATGGAGTGTAAGCATAAAAAGGTAGCATGAGGAAGTTTGTGTTCATTAAATAGTTTTATGTGGTTGCAGTGGTTACACGAATCTATACATGTAATACAACTTCTTAGAATACAAACTAAGAAAGAATCATGTAAAACTTAGTCAAATCCCAAATAAGATTAGTTTACTTTATGGTATCCTACCAATGTTGTTTTTTCTGGTTTTGATAATTATGGTTATGTAGGATGTTTTTCCTAGAAGTTGGTTGAAGGATACTAGCAAAGCCTCTAGATTAGTTTGGCAATTTCTTTTGAGTTCAAATTTATTTAAGTTGAAGGTGGTTTTATAAACTGATCATCTGTATAATCTTAGTCAAGCAAGTCCAAGTATGTTGTTAATATATTTAACATATTCAGTTTCTTTTTAAACTACTTCAGTTTGCTTAATGGACTATTAAGCTTAGAGCCAAAGACAGGAAAAGAGCTAATCATAATATGGGGTGGTTCTGGGGTATTTTCTGACACCAATAAATTATCTAATTCCCTCACACCAACTGGGTGTTCTACAAGTCAATTCTGACACCAACTTCTCCAGGTTAGTGCAGGCTCCACAAGTTAAGGGGCTGAGTCCAAACTGCCCCCACATCAGACGCCACTCACAAGGACAACCTGCAGTTCTGAATGGTGATAAATTCCAAGTTCCCACTACCCCTACTCAGGTTTGATAATTTGCTACAGGGCTCACAAAACTCAAGAAAACAGTGTACTTTGTTTTACTGGTTATAAAGGATGCAAATCAACACTCAAATGAAGAGGTACATACAGTAAAGCCTAAAAAGGGTTCCCCTAATCTTAGGAGTCGCTATCCCTATGAAGTTGGGGGTGCACCACCCTCCTGGGCTATTTGGAGTTCTCTTAATCTCATTGTCTAATCTCATCTCCAGCCCCCCTCCCCTTCCAGGAGGTGGGAGAAATGGGCACAAAGTTTCCATCCTCTAGTTAACTTGATCTTCCTAGGGAACAGCCCCATTCAGAGGCTGTCTAGGCACCAACCATAAGTCACCTCAGTAGTATAATCAGGTGTAATTAAAAGGGCAGTGCTATGAATAACAACAACAGCAAAAACCAACCAAACAAACAAAAAAACCCCACTCCTATCACTCATGAAATTCTAAGGGTTTTAGGAGCTCTGTGCCAGGAACCAGGAACAAAGACCAAATGTATTTATTATACCACAATTTTACAAAACAGTAAAAATAAACAGTAATGAGACACAGTATATTATGGAATCATTGGCAAGGCAACTAGAAATGAGGATTAAGGTATCCTGTCTGAAAATGCACACCAGGTGTATTAGCTGATGTTTAAGGTTATACTTATTAAGCACTCAAATATTCATCATTTTCACCACATTTCATGCCTTCATGAGCTCTTGATATTTTGCTAAAGGTGTTCCACATTTATTTGATAGCATGTTCAGAAGATTTTTACTTTCTATGTGATCTCCTGACAAATGATGAAGCTGAGTGCGTCACTGAAATCCTACCATTAATACTGTCACCTTAAAGTTATTCTCCAGTGTAAACGTTGACACTCACCGAGGTCATATTTCTGAGTAAAGGCTTTGTCATGGTCATCATGTTTCTATCAACAATAAGCTCACTTACATTGAAATCTATGATGACACCGATAATAAAGTCTATCTTTCCACAGACTTTTCCTGGTCTCTGCATTCACAGAATTTATCTCTGTATACTTTTCAGACATATGAGCAGAAATTATTGCTCAAAACATCTCCACATTAATATAGTTTATTCAACATGTTTTCATTGACAGAAAATATGAGGTAAAAGACCACTGAAGGCACTACCTTATTTACTGTATTCATCAAGTTGATCTCTAGGGCAAATTATTTTAACTCCTGAGGACAGACACACATCTGTCAACAGGCCGCACCATGTTTACGTTCCAATTGGCTAGAAACACACTGATGTTTAATGAAGTCTGAGTTGCCACAAAAGGCATTTCCATAGTCACTGCACTAGTAGGGTTTTCTTTTTTTTTTTTTGAGACTGAGTTTCGCTCTGTCACCCAGGCTGGAGTACAGTGGCGTCGTCTCGGCTCACTGCAAGCTCTGCCTCCTGGGTTCACACCATTCTCCTGCCTCAGCCTCCCTAGTAGCTGGGACTACAGGCACCCGCCACCATGCCTGGCTAATTTTTTGTATTTTTAGTGGAGATGGGGTTTCACTGTGTTAGCCAGGATGGTCTTGATCTCCTGACCTCGTGATCCACCTGCCTCGGCCTCCCAAAGTGCTGGGATTACAGGCATGGGCCACCGTGCCTGGCCTCACTGCACTAGTAGGGTTTTCATTCTGTATGAGTTCACTTGTAAGGAAGGAGCTGTGACTCTTCATTACAGGAGTTTTCAACTTGACTGATTCTACCCATTTCTCTTGTGTGCATTTTCTTATGTTTGACAAGGTTTGATAAGTGGGAGAAGGCTTTCTCACAATCACTGCATCCATACGGCCTCTCTCCTGTATGCGTTCTTTGATGTACATTGAGTACTGACTTAGTGGTGAAAGCTTTTCCACATTCATTGCACTCATAAGGTTTCTCTCCTGTGTGAATTCTCTGATGGGTAATGAGACCATATTTGTGTGAATAGGATTTTCCACACTCAGTACATACAAAGGGAGTCTTTCCTGTATGACATCTCTCATGTTGTATGAGGCATATTTTCTGGCTGAAGGCTTTACCACATTCATTGCATTCATAGGGTTTTTCTCCTGTATGAGTTCGCTGATGTATAATAAGAGTGCGCTTTGTGGTGAAGCCTTTACCACATTCATTGCATATGTAAGATTTCTCTCCTGTATGAGTTCGCTGATGTATAATGAGAGTGCGTTTGACAGTGAAGCCTTTTCCACATTCGCTGCATATGTAAGATTTTTCTCCTGTATGGGAGCGCTGATGTACAATGAGATTGCTCTTCACGGTAAAGCCTTTTCCACATTCACTGCATATATAGGGTTTCTCTCCAGTATGAGTTCGCTGATGTACAACAAGATAGCGTTTCATGGTGAAGCCTTTTCCACATTCACTGCATATATAGGGTTTCTCCCCTGTATGAGTTCGCTGATGTACAATGAGATTGCTCTTCACAGTGAAACCTTTTCCACATTCATTGCACACATAAGGTTTCTCTCCACTATGAGTTCGCTGATGAGCAATTAGATAGCGCTTCATTGTAAAGCCCTTTCCACACTCACTGCACATATAGGATTTCTCTTCTGTATGGGTTTGCTGATGTGCAATGAGACTACTCTTCACAGTACAGCCTTTTCTATATTCATTGGGTATACAGATTTTGTCTCTTGTATTAGTTTTCAGATGCTTAGTGAACAGGACACTTCTGGATAATTTCTCACATTGACCACTTCCAGGATTTTCTGGTATATGAATGTTCTCATGGTAAATGAGCTGAGACTTCCTAAGGAAGGTTTGCTCACATTCAATACATGCATGGGGTTTCTCAATTTTCTGAGTCCTCTGATGCTTAAAGACTTGGAATTTAGTATGGATGCATTTTGCATTTTCAGAAAATCTAGTTTTAGCATGCATACATTCGTGCTTAAGCGTTTTCTCACCTCCAATAAACTCAACAGGGTTATTTATTCCATGTCTTCTCTTCTGGTTTATTAAACTTAAACTTGATTTCAAATTTTTTCTGTACAAGTCAAATGTATCATGATTTTGCACTATAGGAAAATGTGTCTTGCTGAGATGTACAGTATTTCTAAGTGTATTCTGTCCATTGCATTGCTGCACGCTCTTCAGAAGTCTTTGGTTTGGAGAGTGCTCTTGCAGAAGACTGTCAACTTTCCCGATTCCTAAGAAAGAACAGAGTAACGAATTCTTCCATGAGAATTGTATGAGATAAAAATGCTTATGAGGCCGGGCATGGTGGCTCATGCCTGCAATCCCAGCACTTTGGGAGGCTGAGGCGGGCGGATCACGAGGTTAGGAGTTTGAGACCAGCCTGACCAATGTGGTGAAACCCCATCTCTACTAAAAATACAAAATTAGCTGGGCATGGTGGCAGCTACTCAGGAAGCTGAGGCAAGAGAATCGCTTGATCCCACGAGGCCGAGGTTGCAGCGAGCCGAGATTGCCCCATTGCACTCCAGCCGGTGGGGGGACAGAGCGAGACTCAGTCTCAAAAAAAAAAAAAAAAAAAAAAATGCTTATGAGATGATTTGCTGGGGGCTGGCTCTTTATTGTCAACTCCATGATCCCAGTATAAAAGGAAATTATGAAGATATAAGCTGAAATAAGTAAGAATCAGATCCAAGAAAAGACAAAAAGTCTTTAAAGCCATAACAACATTAAAAAAGTTATCAGATGGGGAGATGAATATATGGTGGAGTTGCTTAGGTAGCCTCAGATACTTCACATCTGTGACACCTTTCCTTAATGACTACAATAAGACTCCTATAGCCACTGTCCTTGCTGGTTCTCACTTACCTGGACAATTTTTATTCTGGATTTTAGCAACTGTTATCCATGGTTCTTGTCCATGCGCCAACTTGGAGAGTACATCTGGTTTGCTAGTTTGATACCCTGTTCATGAGGAAAGACAAACACAAACATACTGAACTGGAGTCCAGTATGTCAAGATGGGAAAATAATACATGAGATAAAGAAAACAATTTCAAAGTAAGCATTCTCTCTTAGAAGAGATTATACCACTTTGGGGTCAGAGAGGGGACTGAAAATGTAACTCTTCCAAACACCACAGTGACTGTAAAGCTTTGATTAGGTGAGCATAGGACAGTGTCTGGGCATTGTAGGCACCTCTAGGTGACACAGGGGAACTATTCTTACCCAGTGATACTAGGTGGTTATAGTTCTCCACCATCACATCCCGGTACAGGTTCTTCTGAGCAGTGTCCAAGAGCTGCCACTCCTCCGAGCTGAATTCCACAGCCACGTCCTCCAGGGTCAGAGATTCCTGTAATTACAAAGTCCTATTTAATATGATATAAACTCCTATTGTTAATATAGAAGGATATATATTTTTTAAATTTCACAATACAGCCTGCATCTATATTCCTTTCTCAAATATACTTTGGTAGGAGCAAAATCCTCTATCTATACATATTAGCATCTATTTCTAAATATTAAACATAGGCAAATGACATCAGGACAAATAAAACATCCCTACATTACTAATGACTTCACGGCCAATATAAGGATCTGTCATGAATAGACTCCACATCTTGAATTCAAAAAATAGTGCTTTTAAATAAATGTAAGAGAAAAGAGGAAACTATATAACTATAAAGCACAAAAGGCCCTTAAAGTTGATTAGATTTTATTTTTTAATTTTTAAAGAGACAGGGTCTTGCTCTGTAGCCCCAAATGCAGTGCAGTGTCACGGTAATAGCTCAATGAAACCTTGAACTCCTAGGCTCAAGCGACCTTCTGACCTCAGCCTCTCAAGCAATTAGGACTACAGGTGGATGCTACTACCAATTTTTGTAGACAGGGTCTTGTTATGTTGACCAGGCTGGTCTTGAAGTCCTGGCCTCAAGTGATCCTCCTGCCTCGGCCTTCCAAAGTGCTGGGATTACAGGTGTGCGCCACTGTGCCCAGCAAAAAAAAACTTCTAACAGAAAAACATATGTACATATGTGTAATAATTGACAGATTAACAGCATATTAGATACTCTGAAGATTATTGGTGAATTGGAATATATAACTGTGGAAATGGCAGAAAATGCAGTACAGAGAAAAAGAGATAAATCATAACAAAGAAGTTAATAAATATGAAATACTGAGTTGCAAGACCCAATGTATACCCACTTATGGTTTCTAAAAGGGAAAATAGTGTAATAGAGAAGCAATATCTATTAATAAATATCTAAAACCTTAAATATTTCAGGACTAAATACCTCAAATCTCAAATTCAGAAATCCCAACAAGTTCAGAGCAGGAAGTCACAACTGGTGTGACACATCAGACTGAAACCACCATACATCAAATGCAAAGGGAAAACTATAGAATCATCAAGAGACAAAAGACAGATTACCTACAAAGAAATAACAAAATATACTGATGGCTGACATTTCAATAATAGAATCCAGAAACATATGGAATACAATCTTCAAAGTCCTGATTCTTGCAACAAAAAAGGCCAATTTTGGACGGCCATTTAGGATTGAAACACATGGCTAGCAGATGACTTGCTGTCTTACAACTGTGATATCAAGGACCTCTTTGTCAACTAAACTGTCATTCTCCTGCTTCACAATAACTTTTCAGAGAACTACAAAGTGTAAAGTAGAGGTAACTAAGATCCAAGGAAATACTGATAAGAGAATCTATCATTACTGTGTGGGATGCTGCATAGTCAAGAAAGTAGACTCATGAGAGAGCACAACTGCTCAAGCCTGGTCAGCTTATCTCATTCCAAAATCTTTATGTGAGATGTCTATTGACTGGGTAAGTATAAAGTTAAATTTCTACCTCACTCCACTGTCCAAAAGAATTTATTACTGAGTGGAAATCTTGCAGGCCAACTCTTAAGGTGGCCTCTGATAATCTCATTCTCTAGCTGCAGTGACTTCTGACATCAATTACCTGGGTTAGGCCAAACTTCCCAGGTTAAAAGCACAATCCTCCACAAGACTGCCCTCTCTTCAGACACAAGCTGCAAGCTTAAGGCTACACAGACCACCCTCAACTCCAATGAGCTGGCTACAAATGTGTGGAGCTACCATGACTCTCTCAGGTTTAATAATTTGATAGAACAACTCAGAGAACCCAAGAAAGTGCTATGTTTACAATTAGCACTTTATTATTGCAAAATGACACAAATCAGAATCAGCTAAAGGAAAATATGCACAGGGTGAGGTCTGGGAAGGTTCCAAACATAAAGCTGCTGACTGTCCTCTCCTCATGGAGTCCTGGGTGGCATTACATCTTCCTGACTACATCATGTAACAATATTCAAGAGTACTTGCCAACCAGTGAGGCGCACCCAAACTTTGATGTCCAGAGATTTTATTGAGACTTCATTATGTAGGCACAGTTTATTGAAGCATTGCCCATGTAGCTGAGTTCCGTCTCCAGTTCCCTCCCCTTCCTGACTGGTATTACATGGCTCAAAGCCACAACTCTCTAATCACATAGTGCTCTTTTTGGCATGGGCAGCCCCTATCCAGAGTCATGTCACTGCCATAAATTATCTAGGGACCCACTATGAGTCACCACTGTACATATAAACTATTAAATATGAGTGGCCCACTATGAATGACACAGACACTAACTTGGGTAATTATAAGGGTTTAGAGGTTACCTCCCAGGAACGAAAACAAAGGCTAGCCAAATTCTTTATTACACTCTAGGTGATTCCTGCCCTTGTGCAGTACCATCCTCCTGAGTATCAAATGGCCTAAAAGCTTGTTTCTAAAGAAAAGAATACAGCAAAAGTGACGAGATGCCACTTTAAGATTACACTCTTTATGACTTGCATCTTGCTAGCAGAAGCTGTCATTTTCTAGCTTTGATTAAACAATTTGGCACATAGGAGAGGTGCATGTGGCAAAAAACTAAAGGTGGGCTTAGACAAACAGACAGGTAGAAACTGAGGACCCCAACAAAACTGCCTCATTTCTCATTCTGGAAATGAATCCTCCCAACAACCACATAAGTGAGCTTAGAAGCGCATCTTTTCCCATTTTAGCCTTCAGATCAGATTCCAACCCAGCTAACACCTTGATTATAACGGCATGAGAGACTGTGAACCAAAGTAGCCAGCTAAGCCTTGCTTTTATTCCTGAGCCACAGAAAAGTGTGAGTTTTTTTTTTTTAAGTGTTGTTTCAAGTCACTACATTTTGGAGTAATTTGTTAGCTACTAACAGGCAATGAATATAAGATATAAACTTAAGAAGAACTTATGAGGCCAGAAGTCGGGCACATATCTGTAATCCCAGTAATTCCAGAGGACAGTTTGAGCCCAGGAGTTTGAGACCAACCTGGGCAACATAGTGAGACCCTGTCTCTACTCTCAACAAAGAACAAAAAATTAGCTGGGTGTGGTAGTGGATGCCTGTGGTCCCAGCTATTCAGGAGGCTAAGGCAGGCAGATAGTACTTGAACCCAGGAGGTTGAGGCTGCAGTGAGCCATGATTGTGCTGCTGCACTCCATCCTGGGGAAGACAGCGAGTCCCTGTCTCAAATAGAGAAAAAAAAAAAGGAATAAAAACATGTTGATGATATAAGTAAAAAGCTTTAAAAAAAAAATGGCTCCTGCATGGGAAAAAATATTTTGAACAAGCTAAAAGAGAAGTAAGACTCTAGAAAAATATTTGCAACATATAAAAGAATCAATATCCAGTCAAGATAAACAATTATAAATCAGTAAGACCACAAAAAAATTAAATGAGCAAAGACTAAAGACACTTTATCACAGAATAAATAATCCAAAGAAACAACAAAGAGATGAGAAGGATCTGAACCTCACTGGTGAAACAAGGCAAAATAATACTGGATCATCTAGATCATGGAAAATACACAATTTGATAACATAGTAAGTGTTGGCAAGATTTGCAGCACTGAATGTTCTTTTTGTGCAGTGTTTTCCAACACTAACAACCAATTCTCCAATTATCTAAACATCAACTAGATGTCCAACAATTCAGTTCAATTCTGACACTATCTATGTCAGAATCCACAGATTTAAGGGTTCAATCCCACAAGACTGCCCCCTCTTGAGCTCCTCTGCCCGGCTGCCCCACTGTCTGGGAAGTGAGGAGCGCCTCTGCCCAGCCGCCCCATGCCCCCACCACCACCGCCACCACCACCTTCTGGGAAGTGAGGAGCGACTCTGCCTGGCCCCCTGCACTGCCTGGGAAGTGAGGAGAGCCTTTGTCTGGCTGCTGTGCGACCCTCCAAGTGTGAAGTGACAGCCTGTGTGTTTTTTCTGCCCTCCCCAAGTTTGCATTTGACATTAAAGTTTACTTTTCAATTAAAAGTTTTAAATTGGAGAATATATATTTAAAAATAAATAAATAAATAAATAAATAAACTGCCTCCTCTTAAGATGCCAGTCACCAGTCCTGGGCTACCAGTTTCTGACTAACTGGCTATAAATTTGGGGCTCCCACAAACCCCTCCTCAGGTCTGATAATTTACTAGAACAGCTCATAGAAGTCAAGAAACACTTTACTTATGGTACCTAGTTAATCATAAAGGCGAGATACAGAAGAGGGCATCCAAGCTTCCATTCCCCTCTGGGTGTGGTATCCTCCCAGCACCCTGATATGTTCACCAACCTGAAGCTTGTTCAAGAGTTCAAAAAATTAGCTGGGCGTGGTGGCGGGTATCTATAGTCCCAGCTACTCGGGAGGCTGAGGCAGGAGAATGGCGCGAACCCAGGGGCGGAGCTTGCAGTGAGCCGAGATCGCGCCACTGCACTCCAGCCTGGGTGACAGAGTCAGACGCGGTCTATTTAAAAAAAAAAAAAAAAAAAAAACTCGCAGCCTGGGCGACAGAGCAAAACTCTGTCTCAAAAAAATAGTTATAACAAATAAAACTCTTTCTTTTTTTTTGAGACGGAGTCTGACTGTCACCCAGGCTGGAGTGCAGTGGCGCGATCTCAGCTCACTGCAACCTCCACCTCCCGGGTTCAAGGGATTCTCTTGCCTCAGCCTCCCGAGTAGCTGTGACTACAGGCGTATGTCACCACGCCCAGCTAATTTTTGTATTTTTAGTAGCGACAGGGTTGTTGGCCAGGATGGTCTCGCTCTCTTGACCTCATGATCCGCCCAGGATTACAGGCGCGAGCCACCAAGCCCGGCCTGTTCAAGAGTTTTTATAGAACTTACTCTCCAGTCCATTCTTCCTTTCAGTTCCAATCCTCTAATTGCTTAGTCTTTCTGGGGACCAGTCTCATCCTGACACTATCTAGCGGTCTCATAATTAGTCACCTTATGAGCAGAAACTCAGGTGTATCACAGGGGCTCCTTATGAATAACAAAAGACACACCTATTCCTCAGGAAGAAATTCCAAGGGTTTTAAGAATACTGTGCCATGAACTGGGAGCAATGACCAAATATACTTCTTATCCATGTCACTTTCTATATACCAGACTGTGAAAAATATACATTTGGTCTCTGCCCTCCAAATCTTTGGAATTGCTGAAGTCTCTTTTATATATGCTATTGAGATTACTGGTGCCTGGGGCTCTTCCATGGCCTCAGGAAGGGAGCTGGTTGCCAGGTGAACCAACCTTGTGATAGACAGTTGGAACTTTCAGTCCCACCTCTCCAACCAACCCCTGACCTCTGTGGAAGGGAGAGGTGATGGAAATTGAGCTTACCACCAATAGTTAATGAATTAATAAATTATGCCTATGTAATGAATCCACCATAACAATAAAAGGTTGAGGTTGAGAGCTTCCAGGCTGCTGAACATATGGCAGTCCTGGGAGGGTAGAACACCCAGAGAGGGCATGGAAGCTCTGTGGCCCTTCCCCATTATCTGGACCTATGCATCTTTTCCAACTGGCTGTTCCTGAGTTGTACCCTTTCATAATAACCCAGTAATCTAGTAAATAAACTGTCTTCCTGCATTTTTTGAGCCTTCTGGCAGATGAATAGATCTGAGAAGGGGGTTGTGAGGACATCCAATTGGTAGCCAAGTCGAATAGAAGTTGTGAGTAACCTGGGGACCCAGCACTTTTCAGGGGGGCAGTCTTGTGGGACTGAGCCCTCAACCTGTGGGGTCTGTCCTAAGTCTAGGCAATTAGTGTCAGAATTGAGTAAATTTTCGAATATCTAATAGGCATGGAGAATTGAATTGATGTGTGGGAAAAACCCCACATATCTGGTGTCAGAAACACTGTCTGAGGATGGAGAGTAAAACTGTTGTTCCTGCACATAGATACTCTTCTAAATGTTTTATATAGATTAACTTATTTTATGTCCTAACTTACTACATAGGTGCCATATCATTATCCCTCTTACAGATGAGAAAACTGGGTACATATGCTAAATGAAGTATGCGAGGTCACACAGCTGGTAACTGGCTCCAGAGTCAACACTTTTGACCATATGCCACACTAACCATAAAGTGGAATGTACATTTTGACAGTAACTGAAAGTATGCATTAAAATAAAAAATGACTACATCCTATAATTGATTTATCTGTAAATACTGATATAATTTCACAAAATTATCCTCAAGTAATACTGATATAATTTCATAAAAAAGCCACTAACACGACCATGTAAAACCTTGTTCATAGTCATGTGGTTTATAATAACATGCCTAAAAAAAAAAAAAAAAAAAAAAGGTGGGCACAGTGGCTTATGCCTGTAATCCCAGCACTTTGGGAGGCCAAGGCGGGCAGATCATGAGGTCAGGAGATCAAGACCATCCTGGCTAACACAGTGAAACTCCGTCTCTACTAAAAATACAAAAAATTAGCCAGGCGTGGTGGCGGGCGCCCGTAGTTCCAACTACTTGGGCGCTGAGGCAGGAGAATTGTGTGAACCTGGGAGGCGGAGCTTGCAGTGAACCAAGACTACGCCACTGCACTCCAGCCTGGGCAACAGAGCAAGACTCCATCTCAAAATAAATAAATTATTTAATTAATTTTTTAAAAAAAAGTTGGTTGGCAGGCATCAGCATGCAAAAAATGCCAATATACCAAAAATGGTCTGGAGTATGTACATTAAAATGACAACCATAGTTCCTTCTTAAGAGGTGATTCATGTATCATTGTAATGGTCAAAAGTTGAACTACCAAGAAAGCATGCATTCTTTCATATTGAGTCTACTTTTTTTTCCTTCTTTTTGAGACAGGGTCTTACTTTGTCACCCAGGTTGGAGTGCAGTGGTACAAACATGGCTCACTGTAGCCTCATCCTCCTGAGCTCTAGCAATTCTCCCACCTCAGCCTCCCGAGTAGCTGGGACTACAGGTGTGCACCACCACACCCAGCTAATTTTTGTATTTTTTGTAGAGACGGGGTTTTACCATGTTGCCCAGGCTGGTCTTGAACTCCTGAGCTCAAGCAATCCAGAATCTACTTAAGGCAGAATGAACCCCCACCTCTACTCCCAAAAGCAATCTAAGTTAATTTCTCCCTAGAACAAAATTATTCCAGTATATACTTCCTTAAATTCAACTGACATTTTCAGGCCACCATAAATCTATCAAAAAATCAAAGGGAAAATATAACAAACCAAAAATCACCTGGGTCTTGATCATTTTCTTCTGTGCTCAGAAAATAGTGGAAAACATGGACTATACGTCTTTGTCTCTTCTGCATTTGCCATGAAGTTTTCCTGGTCAGAAATATTAGTGTCCACTTAAAGTTGTCCCTGGAAATTATGATATCCAAGGCCAGCAACCTCCCTCTTCTTCCTTCATTGCTTCACTTGAGTTATCTTGCTTCTGGGAGCCAGGACCTAAGGACTGATAAACAAAATGGCTGTAAGTGTACATTCACCCTGGGTCCGGTCGTGGTCACTGCTGCCCTGCACTTACCTTAAATAAAAGACCCTAATATTTCTAACAGCTCCTTTATTTGGTGCCTCAGAGGTTTTCATGGTTCTAAATGTGTGAAAGCTATGCCTTTCTTTTGTGAAGCAGAAGTGGCATGACTATTATAGAGAAGGTGGGAAAGCAGAACGGGCACAGTACAATGCCTTAGAGGCAGGTGAATTCCCAGACAGATCAATTTTAGGAAAGAGAACACATGGAAGGCTCCAAGAATGTCTTTAAAAAGCATGTGTGTCCATGTACTGGTTCAAAAAAGTCTCTATAAGCTCTATGGGTATACATACCTCATGTCAAGACCAATGTACTAAGCAAATCGTAAGAACTGTCTCATTTTCACATTATGCGCTAAAGGATTAACTTTACCCAAGAGAGGTTTGTCCTTTGCCCACAGTTTCTATGAGGCAAACTCTAAGACTTTGGAATATGCTGCTTGATAAAACTGTCTTTGGTTATCAGGGCAATTTGAGTCATGCGAAATTGTCTATCCTAATAATGTGATTTACTATGGGAGGCCTTGGACCACGTGGTTTTAGTTTGATATATGGAGGAGCTGGAGATTGAAGTCAGCCACATAGGCAGTCAATTGTGTGTATGTTAACTGATACCCAATAAAAATTCTGGACACCTGTAGGGAAAAGAAAGTGAGATCAGACTGTTACTGTGTCTGTGTAGAAAGAAGTAGACATAAGAGACTCCATTTTGTTCTGTACTAAGAAAAATTCTTCTGCCTTGAGATGCTGTTAATCTGTAACCCTAGCCCCAACCCTGTGCTCACAGAGACATGTGCTGTGTTGACTCAAGGTTTAATGGATTTAGGGCTATGCAGGTTGTGCTTTGTTAAAAAAGTGCTTGAAGGCAGTATGCTTGGTAAAAGGCATCTCCATTCTCTAATCTCAAGTACCCAGGGACACAGTGCACTGTGGAAGGCCGCAGGGACCTATGCCTAGGAAAGCCAGGTATTGTCCAAGGTTTCTCCCCACTGAGACAGCCTGAGATGTGGCGTCATGGGAAGGGAAAGACCTGACCATCCCCCAGCCCGACACCCATAAAGGAACTGTGCTGAGGAGGATTAGTGAAAGAGGAAGTCCTCTTTGCAGTTGAGATAAGAGGAAGGCATCTGTCTCCTGCACGTCCCTCTGCAATGGAATGTCTCCGTGTAAAACCCGATTGTTATGTTCTATTTACTAAGATAGGAGAAAACCGCCTTAGGGCTGGAGGTGAGACGAGCTAGTGGCAATGCTGCTGTTTTATGTATGTGCACATCAAAGTATAGCACCTTTTCTTAACCTTGTTTATGACACAGAGACATTTGTTCACATGTTTTCCTGCTGACCCTCTCCCCACCATTACCCTATTGTCGTGCCACTTGCCCCTCTCCGAGATGGTAGAGATAATCATCAATAAATACTGAGGGAACTCAGAGACCACTGCCGGTGCAGTGCGGTTCCTCCATATGCTGAGCGCGGGTCCCCCCGGCCCACTTTTCTTTCTCTATACTTTGTCTCTGTGTCTTTCTTTTCTCAGTCTCTCGTCCCACCTGACGAGAAACGCCCACAGGTGTGGAGGAGCAGGCCACCCCTTCGGACACCAAGGCCTAGGTGAGTGGCAACAATGGTTACAATGGCTGGCAATAATAATATAAGGGTGTATATATAAGGATATGATAATTTAAAAACATATGAAGCAAAACAGAATGAGAGAGGATTAGACAATTCAACAATAATAACTGAAGACTGCATTACCGTACTTGCAATAATAAAGAAAACAAATAGAAACTCAGCAAGGATACTGAAAACTTGAACAACATAATCAACCAACTATACTTAACTAACATTTAACACTACACTCAACAGCAGTAAAATAAACTTTTTTTTTCAAGAGTACATGTTGTATTCTCCAGGATAAGACCATGTGCTGGAATATAAAACAAGTGTCAATATATTCTAAATATATTTTCCAACCACAACAATTTAATTAGAAATCAATGTCAGAATGAAATTTAGAAGATATCCAAATATTTGGAAATAAAATAGCACAGATCTGAATAACCATGGTTAAACAGAAAATCATGAGCCAGGCACGGTGGCTCACGCCTGTAACCCCAGCACTTTGGGAGGCTGAGATAGGTGGAACACTTGAGGCCAGGAGTCCCAGACCAGACTGGTCAACATGGTGAAACTCCAAGTCTACTAAAAATACAAAAAATTAGCCAGGCACGGTGGTGCGTGCCTGTAATCCCAGCTATTCAGGAGGCCGAGATGGAAGAATCACTTGAACCCTGGAGGTGGGAGCAGAGAGGGCGCCATTGCACTCCAGCAAGGGCAAGAACAAGACCCTGTCTCAAAAAAAAAAAAAAAAAAAAGAGGGGAAAAAGAAAATCACATGGGAAATTGGACATATTTTGAACTGATTGGAAACAGAAACACAACATAAACATTAATTAGCTGTCCCTAAAGGAGTTGTTTTAAAAAAAATAACTTTAGCCGGGCGCGGTGGCTCACGCCTGTAATCCCAGCACTTTGGGAGGCCGAGGCGGGCGGATCACAAGGTCAGGAGATCGAGACCACGGTGAA